AGGCCTGCTGGACTAGCAGGGGTGAGGCAGGCAGAGGCTGGGGGAGGACGGCGTCAATCCCCGGGAAGTAGCAAGGCTGAGGCAGGAGGGGAGAGTTGGCAGTGTGGGACCCTGGGGACCAGTAAGCCCACAGTTAATAACAGTAACTCAGTAATAACAGCAGCTAAGTGGGTACCGCACAAAGCCCTTCCTCGTGCCTCCGTGCTCCCTGCACCCGGCGAGGCAGGCGCTGCCGCCTCACCTCTGTAAACAGAGGGGGCCCGGAGGCTCAGAGGGGTTAAGTGTCTCCTCTAAGGGCAGGGAGACCGTGAGTGGTGATGAGCGTGCGAAACCCACCAGCCTGCCTACTGCTGCCTGAGGAGGCTGGAGAGACAGGTGGGGTGGAGCCGTGGAAGGTTTTGTGGGTGGTGCCAGTTAACCGAGCCCTGTCTCGAAGACAGCCAGGGGCCCCCAAGCCCAGGGGCTTCAGCAGCACCACGCCGCCCAAGGCACTGCAGGTGGAGGGCCCTGAGGCAGGGCATCCTTTCCTGACCGTACCAGATTTACTGTCCCTGGAGAAAACGTACAGCCCCCATTTCTTGAGACCTTGCTGAGTGCTTGGAAATGTGGTAACTGCTTCCTAGGAACCGTCTCCTTTCACCTTCCCGTCTCTCTGAGGGAAGCACTACTGCTGCCCCATTTTACAGATGGACACTGGTGCTGGGGCGAGGAGAGCTTCTCCGAGGAAGACATCTAAGGACCATATTCCTACAAAGGCCTCCAGGTGGAAGGAGCTCATCCAAAGGAGGGAAAAAGGGCCAGGGGAGGGAAGGGCACAGCGAGGGGGGGTGGGAGGCTGAGGCTGGCACTTCCACACCAGTGTCTCCCCAGCCCCAAGGGCCCCACGCAGAAGCTGGGGACGTGTGCCAACACCAGGCGGAGCAGGGGGCTGCAAGACTTAAACGGAAGCCCGATTGCTTCTCCTGGCAGCCTGGTACCATGAAGAGAAACAGGGCTTTAGAGTCCTGAACCCCAAGAACCTCACCCCTCTGAGCCACAGTTTCCCCACTCATGTTAGGAGAAAACTACCAGTACCTTGCCGTGTGGCTGTATTACATATAATAATGGTGTGAGTTGGTAGTGTAAATCGTGAAATGCTTCCTGAAAAAAACAAACAAACAAACAAAAAAACCCAAACAGTATGGAGATTCCTTGAAAAATTAAAAATAGAACTACCCTACGACCAGCAACTGCACTACTAGGTATTCATCCAAGGGATACAGGTGTGCTGTTTCAAAGGGGCACGTGCACCCCAATGTTTATAGCAGAGCTATTGGCAATAGCCACAGTATGGAAAGAGCCCAAATTGACGGATGAATGGATCAAGAAGATGTGGTGTATATATACAGTGGGGTATTACTCGGCCATCAAAAAGAATGAAATCTTACCATCTGCAACTACATGGATGGAACTAGAGAATATTATGCTAAGCGAAATTAGTCAGAGAAAGACAAATATCATATGATTTCACTCATATGAGGACTTTAAGATACAAAAGATGAACATAAGAGAAGTGAAGCAAAAATAATATAAAAACAGGGAGGGGGACGAAACATAAGAGGCTCTTAAATATAGAGAAGAAACAGAAGGTTGCTGGAGGGGTTGTGGGAGGGGGTAGGGGCTAAATGGGTGAGGGGCATTAAGGAATCTACTCCTGAAATCACTGTTGCACTAGATGCTAACTAGCTTGGATGTAAATTAAAAAAATAAATAAATAAAGCATAAGTCCAGAAAAAAAAGAATCCAGCGGAGAAGCTCTAGACACCAGCCAAGAGGGACGCAAACCCATACGATTAGTAATGACCATCTCCATTCATGCCCCAACACACATCGGGCACCACCACTTGGAGATACTGCGCAGGGCACCAGAGCACTGGCATCCCCAAAAGGCTGTCCCCCGGACAGCGGGGTCAGAGAGACAACATCCCTGATCATTCCCACAGACCGAGTTCTAGGTGCTCCCTGGCTGCCAGGATTAGGGACTCCAGCTCCGCTCCGAGAGGTGAAGTGACTTGGGCAGGGTCCCACTTGCTTTCTGGGGTGGCGGCTGAGAGACCAAGTCAGGACTCCCTGACAGTTAAGTCGCCTTTCTCCTCTTTTCCCTGAGCATGAAAACATCTGCTGTCAGCCGCGGGGGGGAAATGGGGGGGAATAAGGCAGACACCTCCTGAACCACAGGGTGTTCGGTCAAGAACACTGTGAAAGCAGAGGGAAGCAGGCAGCGATGCGGTCAGGCAGCCCCAGCCTTTCTTCCGACCCAGGCTGCCCCCGCGTCCCATCCACCCACTACAACACAGCCTCTCAACTTTCCCCCTAAGCACTCTCCCTGGGATCCTGATCCGCAAACACTGCGCCACCCGAGATAGCAGCCACCAGCCACTTGTGGCTATTCGGACTGGTGGAAATTAAATGAAACCTTCAGTTCCTTCAGCCACACTAATCCCATTCTGAGTGCTTGGCAGGCAGCTGTGTGTAGTCAGTGGCTGCTGTACTGGACAGCACATACCTAGGACACCGTCATCATCACAAAATGTTCTAGTGGACACCTCCGGATCTAAAATGTTTTTAACTAAACCTTCCTACTCCTTCCCTCCACTCAGAAAAGTCTCCTTATTATTCTTAGGAGGGGGAAAAAGCAAGTGGGAGAAATAAAAGTGGAGGAGAAGAAACAAGGACTCTTAAAAGCATCTGACTCTTGGTTTCGGCTCACGTCACAATCGCACGGTTTGTGGGCTTGAGCCCCGCATCGGGCTCCACACTGACAGTATGGGAGCCCGTTTGGGATTCTCTCCCTCTCTGCCCCTCACCTGTTCCCGTTCTCTCTCTCAAAATAAAAATAAACAAACTTAAAAAAAAAAAAGATGTACTCTGATAGACTCACTGCAAAAAAATCTCCCCCTCCTATCACACTCCCACAAAATAAAGGAGGGGAGTCGACAGAGAAAGGCAGCAGGGAGACTGAGCCTGGAAGGAAGAAGATTTAATAAGCCATAAATGACCTTTCCCTAACTTTCTGCCGCAGTTTTCCCCACTGCCCGCCCCACCTCCCAGCCAATGGACTATCTGGACTGAGATCAGCCCTGCAGATCTGACTGCTCAGGGGAAAAAAAAAAAAAGAGCCACAAAGAACAGGCCAAAGGCAGGAGGCTGCCCCACCCCCTGCCTGCTCCAGCAGCGCTTCCACAATTACCTGCTTCAACTTCTCCCAATCTATGTCCCCTCCCCTCACTCCCGACCCAACCTCTTCACCTTCCTCCGGTTCCTCCTACCTGCGGGGTCTTACCACAGATTTTACCCTCCTTTCCTAAAAGATTAGGGATCAGCAGGTCAGACACAACCTCACAAGACCTTGACAGACTTCCCTCCAAGGGCCCTCACCACTCCAAGGTCCCCTCCTTGCTCCTTCCGATCATCTCCAATGTCAGTTTCTTTCCCTTCCCTCCACCCTCACTTTCCACAGCGACCAACACCCCTATTGCCCTTACCAAATACCAGGTCCAGGTCTTAGCACTTGCCACATTTGTTTTTTACTACAACCCTAGGAGGTGGTCACTGTTAGCATTTTAGAAAGAGGGAAATGCGTCTCCCTGGAGAGAGCCAGAGGAGCAGTCCTTTGCCCACACAGCTGGAAAGCCAGGATTAGGGATTAGTTCATGGCTCTTCCCCAGCCCAATGTCTCTGTCCCTCTAAACGGGCTTCCAGCTAGATCTCTGCTGTGTGAACTTACTGTTAGCAGTATCAACCCAAAGAGACTCTAACTCTTTTGGTAAGAATTGAGGCATTTCTCAAGTGCGACTCAGAAACGTTGGCAAGGTGGTGCCCAGTCTGGACCTCTCTCTCTTGTTAATCCAATAAAATTTTATTGATCGTCTCGTCTCCTGTGTTGCGTAACCAACATAGACAAGGTTCCTGTTCTGGCATTCGATCAGGGACACAGGATCAAAAGGATCTGTTACGCAATTCATTGTAAAACCAGAACAGTAGTAAAGGAACAGAGAAATGCGGGATACCATAAAAGCCCGCGCTGGGGGACCTGATCTCTTTTCTCCTTTAGGAAAGGAGAGAGGGGAGTCCTTACCGAGAAGGTCTCTCCCCCTGGGCAGTTTCGCTCTCCAATGCCTGCGAGGAAATCTCTGGCCTTCCTCCCGCGCCCCTCCAAGCGACCTCCCATGGGGATGGGTGGCAACTAATGAGGAACCCCCTCCCTCTCTCCGAGTTGTCTCCCTCCCTCAGGGCCCACAGTGGAGCTGCCTCGTTTCTCCTCTCCCGAGGAAGTTCTTCCCGAGGGTCCTCTCCGAGTAGTTTCTAGCCCTTTTCCATTCTGTGATAGCCCTTCCTTCACTCCCGGCACAGACCCCACACCCTTCAATCCCCGTTAACATCCCTACTCTCCCTTGGGGAAAGCTCCCAGTGTACCGGGGACTCACATATCTAGCCAGCCCCCGAGCACCAAACCGCCGCAGGAGCAGATGGCCAGCCCGGCCCAAGCCTCGACCTGAGCCCCAGAGCTTCGCCGCCGCCGCCACCGCCATCTTCGCTAACGACTCCTCAGTGATCCGCCCCTCGCCTCCGCTAGACTGAGGGCTGCCCCTTTATGAGCCTGATTCAAAGGTTAGCCCCATCCTCCCAAGAAGCCACAAGCTACTAGTTCTTTGGACTCTTGGACACGGGTATGAGTGGACAAAACAATCTAGCTTGATAAAAGTACTCTTATCACCTCATCTAAGTTGTTTCTGTAACAGGCAAAGAAAAGGGCAACCCGACCAAAGCCTCAGGGCTTTAGGGCCCGGGGACCTCGGGTAGGACGAGCCCAGGCCAAGGCCCGCCCTCTCTTCGCTAATCTCCAATGGAATTCCAAGATTTGGCAGGCGGGAGTGGGAGGGGCCAGATTGTTAGTAAACGCGGAGACACGTGCGGGCGCTGGTCCTGGCGCCCAGGATCGGCGCGTGCGCACTGAAAACGCAGCTTGTACGCACGCGCGCGCCATTGCGCGGAAGTGAGGGCCCCAGTAGCACGTGGGCTCTGGGACGATGGAGGGGGCTCTGCGGGCTAACGCCAAGATGAGCACTGAGTCTGGAGTAGAGTCCAGTCCTCGGGGCCCTGGCTGCAGCCTCCGTCACTTTGCCTGTGAACAGAACTTGTTATCCCGCCCGGACGGCTCTGCCTCTTTCTTGCAAGGTAAGAACTTAACCTAGGTAAATACTGCTCTGGCCACGTTCGCCACGTTGTATTTGTTTTAGGAGGTTAACAGTGTACAATGCGAAGGAGTGCCACTCCCCATGACACCAGCTGGTAAATGCCCCCCCACCCCCCCCCGGACTGGTGCGTTTCTTCTTGCCCGGGTGGACACTACCGGATATGCCAGAATAAACTCTCTCTCCCTACTAGAAGGGAGACGACATCGCCACTCTGGTAAATACTCAGATCAGATGAGAGAGGAGCAGACTTCCTCCTAAGACCAAATACTCCAGAATAGAGAAAAGCCCCTCACCAAAGGAAATATCTCCCTTGACTAGATTCGTCTCCCACCTCCACCCCACACACGCTGGGTCCCTACATCCCAGGCTGAGGCAAACCAGCCCATATGCATGAATACTGGCAGATGACCACTACCAGCTTAATTGCTGCTTGGACCGTGGCATGTCTTTTACGGGAGTATTTTTCAGATTGAGAGTGATGCCCCCGTCCTCCCCACCACTGGGGTAAATATCTCTTTGGGACACGCGTCTCCATGGGAGTAAATATCACCAGGTTTGGGGCAAGTCTTACCTATTAGGCAAATATCCCTTTCCAAATGCATCTCAAACTGGACTGTTCTCCCTTACCCAGGTAAATATTCCTCTGGAGATAGGCCTAAAGATCATCCCTGTAATTGCTTCAGTCTCTTCACTAGGAAGGAGCGTTAACTCCTACCTAGGTACAAAACCTCTCTTAGTTCATCCCTTTATTGAACACATGTATTTGTGCTAAGTACTGTTCTAGGCACTGGGAATACGTTGATAAAAAGTATTTTTACCTAACGGTTTACATTCTAGTAAGGGACACAGGCAGAAGATAACTAAGGAAATTACTATGGAGAAAAATACAGAGAAGGGGAATAGGGTGTGCCAGTGAGGGTTTTAGTCTTAAATAGGATGGTTGGGAAAGGCCTTGATGAGATGGTGACATGTGAATAAGGACCTAAAGGTAAGGGAGCAAACCCTGAAGATACCAGGAGGAAAAGCATACCAACGGTGGGGAACAGCAGAGTGCAAAGACCCTGAGCCAAGGACTTGCCTGGTGTGTTTGAGGAACAGTCAGGACACAGTGTGGCTGGAGCAGAGAGGAGGCTGGACACGGGTAAGGGGGACTGCCTGTCATTTGAGCCCTAGCGAATGACTTGGGGGCCGTTGCTCCCAAGTTTTGCTCAGAGGAGTGACACGATCTGAATATATTTTTTTTAAACAGAATCTCTCTGGCTGCAGTGTTGATTCTAGAGGTACAGGGGAGAGGGGGCGATGGTGGTGGCTCAGACCAGAGTGGAAGGAGTGGGAGTGGTGAGTGCCTGGTAGACATCACAGGGACGATATGGACTGGGCAGAAGCACATACAAGTCTGGAATTCAGAAGAGAGACACAATCCGAACATATGATTAGGAACTCTCTGGCTATAGATGGTATTTCAAGCTACTGATTGGGTGAAATCAAGAAAATAAGTTTAGCTGGAAAAGAGAAGAGGTCGCTGGACTAAACCCTATCTCTTCTAACTTGTGGGGAGCAAAAAAAAAAAAAAAAAAAGACACTTAGAAGAGAGGCGCCTGGGGGGCTCAGTCAGTTAAGCATCCGACTTCGGCTCGGCTCATAATCTCACGGTTCGAGAGTTCGAGCCCTACATCGGGCTCTGTGCTGGGCTCCGAGCTGTTGGATTCTGTGTCTCCCTCTCTCTCTGCCCCTCCTCCACTCACACTCTGTCTCTCAAAAATGAATAAACGTTAAAAATTAAAAAACAAACAAACAAACGCCGAGAGAAGAGCAGCTAGTAAGGGAGAAGGAAAACCAAGAGAGGGCCGGACCTGGGACCCAGAGAAGTGTTTGAGATGTAAGAGCCCACGAGCTGCATCTGTCCTCCCAGACCTGTAGGTGGGGACCGATCTGGACTTAGGTCACTGTCAAGAACTGTTCTGGTGGAGTGGAGGGGTCAAGGAGGAGAAGCAAAAGAGAGCACAAGTAGAGACAGGTCTTTGGGAGCTTTGCTTGGAAGGGGAGCAGATAAAGGGGGCAGGAGTTGAAGATAGATGTGGATCCAGAGAAGACAGAATTGCTCCAGAGACTTGGCTGGAGCCATGTCCGTGAGCGGGAGGGACTCCCAGGCAGTGAGAAAGAAGACTGCAGTGTGGCTCTTGTTCTGGGTGGATGAGTTTCCCTTGGAGGGCAGATTTTCCTGGGGCCTAGAGAATTCCTCAGTTACCCAGAACCCCCTCTCCCCAACCCAGGAAACCTGCCCTGACCCTGGGGGGCCTTCCCAGGCCCCCCTCAGACTTAGCTCTTTTGCTAAAGTCACACGCCTCCAGAAATGTCGAGGAAGGTAGCCCCTTCCATGTTCTAAAACTCCCAAACCCCAGGACCTCTCACGGACCCTGAAAAGTGTGTCCCACCCACTTCAAGCCTCAGACTCTCTGGTGAGGTTGTTAAAAATGCAGAGGCCCGGAATCCACCACACCTGCTGAGGCTGGCTCTGAGGCTCCCGGCACCTGCGCTGCACCCCAGCTGTTGAATAGGATCTCTGGGGGAGGCGCCTGGGCGGCAGTACCTTTTTTAGGCCAGCGATTCCGGTGTGCAGCCAGGGTTGAGGACCTCTGCTCTGTTCCTGAGTGGTTCTTTTTAACTGGAATAGAGTACGGGCTGGCTGAGTCAGTGGAGCACGCAACTCTTGATCTCAAGGTCTTGAGTTCGAGCCACATGTGGGGTCTGGAGATTCCTTAAAATAAACTGTTAAGGGGCGCCTGGGTGGCTCAGTCATTTAAGCATCCAACTGTTGGTTTCAGCCTGAGCAATGACCTCACGGTTCCTGACATCGAGCCCTGTGTCCAGCCTCTGCAGTCACAGCACGGAGCCTGCTTGGGATTCTTTCTGTCTGTCTGTCTGTCTGTCTCTCTCTCTCTCTAGTAAAATAAAATTAATTGGAATAGAGTAGAAAACATCAGAATGTATCAAAGCAGTGACAGCAAGAGTTGTTCTGTGAGGCCATTGTTCCGTTTACACACACATACGTTTGCATGCAGTTGGAGTCACGCTCGTTGGGAGTCACGCTCTACAATATATTTTTGTTACCAGGAGCTATGGTGAGGAAAGTTTGGAAGCCACCGGTGTAGTCTAGTCTCTTCATTTTGCAGATGGTGAAACTGAGGCCCAGAGAAGTGAGCACAGCCAGCCGACATTGCAGGACTAGAAACCAGGCTTGTATTTCCTGGATCTTAACCTCCCCGCCCCTGTTCATACCCCCTCGGGACCACTCCCGGGTACTCATCCCTCTCTCAGGGGTCCGGACTTCTGCAGAGTTTGGGACGCAAGCCTTAGGGAAGAGAGCCGGGTTGGGGGAGGCTCTGGAAGGTGTTGAGAAGGCAGCTGCAGTACGAAGGAGGAAGGTCAGCTCTCCGGAAGAACTTCCCATTAAACTTAGTAACAGCGAACGTCTGTGGCACACCCCGCATGTGCCAGGCAGTGTCGGAGCCGGGGATTACATCGTTTAATCCTCACAACTCGGGGAGGGCGGCGCCGTTACCCTCTTGGTTCACAGGTGGGGAAGCACAGGCAGAGGACTGAGCAAACCAAACGCTGGAAAAATCAGCACCAGCACTTGGTGGGCTGGACTGGGGGTGGTGTGGGGAACCCTGGCCATCCGGCTCGGCACCCCATACTCCAGTGTTGCACACTAGGCCCCCGGAGGAAGGCAGGACATGGGTGAGGCCTCCTGTGCTGTCTCCGCAGGGGACACATCGGTACTGGCGGGCGTGTACGGGCCAGCCGAGGTGAAGGTCAGCAAAGAGATCTTCAACAAGGCCACCCTGGAGGTGATTCTGAGGCCGAAGATCGGGCTGCCTGGTAACTGGACCCAGTGGAATCAGTACCTTCTTCCTCACTGCTGTCCCCAGTATCCCCTCTCCCCTCCCCTCTGCCTCCACTTTAGTCCTCTTCCCTGGCTCCCATCTCCCCTTCTTTCTACCAACCTGTTTTTCTACCCATTTACTCCCTGCCGCCCCCACTCCTGGGGCTGGGTTCACTGGGAGGGAGCACCGGGGTTTTCTTCCCCGAGGAGGCTCTGTTGCTGGATGCCAGAGCGGGCAGGGAGGAAGTGGGTATGGGTCAGGCCCTGCCTCCTTCCCAGTGGGACCCTCTGTCATCCCTGCAGGGTCTTGCACCAACCCTGGTGGAGATGGCAGGCCCTTCCCGGAGGGCTTGGGTGGGGCATATGGAAGAAGGTGAGCCACATGGAAGGGAAGAGCCTGACCACCCCACCCCACCCCTGATTTCCCCAGGCGTCGCCGAGAAGAGCCGGGAGCGGCTGATCAGGAACACGTGTGAAGCAGTGGTTTTGGGAGCGCTGCACCCCCGAACCTCCATTACTGTGGTGCTGCAGGTCATCAGTGATGCTGGCTCTGTATCCTTCGCCCCAGGCTGCCTCCTCCAGGAAGTCCTCCAGAATCTCCCCGATTGCCTCCCTTGCTGATGCCCACGTGCATGCCCTCTGTTTTCCAGAGGCCTCCCAGTGCTTGACAGGCACCCACTTCTTGAAGAAGAATAGCAAACACAGCTTGAGTAGTTACCACATGTCAGGCACCATTCTGAATGCCTTACACGTATTAACTCACTCAGTATTCTCAGCACAGGAAATAGGTGCCACTATAACCCCCATGTTCCAAATGGGGAAACTAAGGCCTGACGAGGTCAGCTCTTAGCTAGTAATTGGCAGAGCCAGGATTTGAGCCCAAGCCATGTGCTCCTAGAGCCCAGGGGCCCTGGCAGATGGTATTCTTATGTTCCCATGTTTCATGTGAGGAAACAGGCTCAGAGAGGGGAAGTCGCTTACCCAAGGTCACACAGCTGGAAGGCAGCAGAGGCAGAACTCAAGCCCAGGCCTGACTGCCTACAAAGAACGCCTGTGCCATCAACCTCCACTCTGACCTTGAGCAGTGCCAGGGGAGTCCTGAGCAGGCAGAGCAACTGGGTCAGCAGCTCAGCCTAGAAGCTCCCTGGGGTTGGGGCTGAAGGAGTTGCCAGCCCTATTTCACAGATGGGGAAACTGAAGCCCAGAGGGGAAGTCATGGAGGGGCAGAGCTGGGGCTAACTGATCTTAAAGCTGGACCCTTCCCCACTGTGTGGGGCTGGGGGATGGAGACTAGAGGAGGCTTGAGGCAGGGCTGGCCGTTTGACTCCAGGCCCGGGGATGTCTCCCTTCTCCCTCTGTCACCTCGACAGTCTGTCCCCTGGTGGTGGCTGCCTCTAGATCCCCAGGCTCCGGGCCTGGCCCTGCCACTGCCTCCCCACGTGACTGTCTCCCCTCCTTGCCCTCAGTTTCCCTGAAGGCACTTGGCTTCACTACAGCTCTGTTGAGTATCATTCCAACCCCCGATTGAGCCTGAGAGAGTAAGTCACTTGCTCAAGGTCATGCAGCTTGAGGTGGCACAGATGGGCCTGGAGCCCAGGGCTACCTGATCCCAGAACCACTCAGAACCACTGAGCCTTCAGTACTGCCTTCCTGTGATGAGTCCATGCTGCCGGCCACAGTGCTGGCGGGTAAATGGAGCGTGGTCACACTCCGCTGGCCGTCCCCACAGTGGAAATGCTTCTTAACCTCTGCCCCTGGCACTCAGCTTCTGGCCTGTTGCCTGAATGCTGCCTGCATGGCGTTGGTGGACGCAGGGGTGCCCATGCGCGCCCTCTTCTGTGGGGTCACCTGTGCTCTGGACTCTGAGGGGACCCTCGTGCTGGACCCCACGGCCAAGCAGGAGAAGGTAGGTATGAAGACTGGGGTAATGTGAGTCTGAGCAGACGCTTCTCCAGGCTTCGCTTCCCCGACACACTTGGCTACTAATGCATCAGTCCCAGTTGGCGAGGTCTGGTCTGCAGACCGCCAGGTGCTAGGACACCAGCCGAGACCCGTATCGACCTTCAGCGCCAGACTCGGAGCAGCGGTCCAGCTAGAGCCAGGGTCTCAGACCCCCCCGAAGGATTCCCTTGTTTTGGCTTCCTAGCCCCTGCTGTCCTCTGCGTATATTGGTTCCATTCGGTTCCATTCTCTGTTGCCTGAGGAGGCTGTGACCAGCCCCTGAAAGTCCGTGCTTGCTTCGCTGGCTCCGATTCACACTGCCCAGGGCTCAGGGTATTCCAAGTCATCCGCCCAGTACCGTGAGGGTCGCATCGTGTCAGGAAAGCAGAAGCCACTTGGGATCGTATCAGGGAACTTCCTGCAGGAAACTGGCCAGGACAGTGTTGGGAGAGGCGAGGGAGCACAAAGGAAGGAGGGTGACGCCCAGGGGCTAGAAGCCTGTGGGGAGACACTGTCACGTTTGGTTCTGGATGCACACAGGGCACCCTGGCAGCCCGTGTCCCCGGAGCCCGCCTGGCCTCCATGGCTACTATGGGGACTGCCAAGCCACGCTTCTGTCAGAGTGAGGACAGGGTGCAGCTCTCCCTCCTTCAGCCTCCCCCCAGACTACCGGGGGCACCTGACAGGCAGGGGAGTCTGGGAAATAGTGTGTCGGCTTCCAGCCCTCGTGGCCCAGAGCTGGAGAGGGAGGCAGGGAGCCAAGAGGTACTGGTGACGATTGGTGGCCACATGGCTGCCCCCACAGATGGAGTCCTGTGCTTAGAAGCCCCCTGTTGGAACCACATGGGTAGAATCGGGGCATGGGAAGTGCTTCTACAGAAGGAAGGGCCAAGAGCATTGCCCAGGGAAGCAGCGTTGGTGTGTAGACAAAACAGCTACACTTGATCCACTTGGGGAATGCTGGCTGTAGGGAGGGCAGGTGCCCTTTTGGGGACCAGCTGAGACTGCCTGAGGGGAGAGTCCAGGTGTCCTATCCCTCGCCCCTAGGAGGCCCGGGCCGTCCTGACCTTTGCCCTCGACAGTGTGGAACGGAAGCTGCTGATGTCCACCACCAAGGGGCTCTATTCGGATGCCGAGGTACCAGGGTGGAGATGGGGTGAAGACCAGATCCTTCCTTGCGTCCCTTTTGCATGTAGAAGGAGTTTACAAACCTCATAGGCCCAGAACCCCTTGTGGGGATTTTAAAGGACGCACCAGGAATGAGCGGAAAAGAGAAGAGAGCCTGGGTTGAGATGGGGAGGCAAGGCGTTGAAAGCCCTTCACCTTCCTGCTCAGAGCCGTGCACTCCCAGAGCCCTGGGGCTCTGGTCTCCGAGAGCACAGCCAACCTGGGCCTCCCGTGAACCCAGGAACGTGCGGCAGTTGATTTGGGGTCCCAGATTCCAGAGCTTTCGACATGACCTGGCGTCAGAGGGCCTGTGGCTCAGAAATCCTAGAGCTTCGGGCTGAGGCCACGATCAGGATGCCTGGTGCCCCGGTCCACAGCCCCGGAGCCCGCGCCTCGTCTTTCCCTCTGTTCCCCTCTAAGAGAGCACCCATGACCTGGGGAAGAGAGAAGGGCCCTTGAAACATGCCCCGTCGCCACCAGCCTCACTGCCGGGGGGCTGCAAGAGGTCTGGGGTCTCTGGGAATCCGATGGGGTCGGGGCCAGGCCGCGGGAGCGGGGCGCCCCGGCACCAACAGGTCTCTCCGCCTCCAGCTCCAGCAGTGCCTGGCCGCGGCCCAGGCCGCCTCGCAATGCGTCTTCCGCTTCTACCGGGAATCGCTGCAGAGGCGTTACTCCAAGAGCTGAGGCAAGCTGGGGCAGGGCGCCCTCCCGCCGCCGCCTCCGTGGAAAATAAACCAGCAGCCAGGCCTCGCCTCTCCAGCCCTGTGTGCCCGGAGGAGCTTGCGGGCCTGGGGGCGCAGACTCCTGCCCCGCCCCCCCACCCCCCAAGCATTTCCACACCGGGAAGCAAGCCCCACCCACCCTGCCAGTCCGACAGATACCCATGGGGTGTCCGCCCTGTGCGGGTCCTGCTAGGTACCAGAGACCCAGCAGTGAACAGCCCCCCCCAGGTTCGAGGAGCAGTGGGGTGATAGGCCAAGGCAGTTGGTATTTGTCAGATGGTGGTAAATGCTGTGTAAAAAGCAAAAAGCAGGGAGGCCAGATTTAATGCAGCAGTCAGGGACGTCGCAGGGGAGCCCAGGAGGAGGCCTGGGGAAGAGGGAGGACCGGATTAGGGGTGGCTCTGGTGTGCAGGGCAAGTAGGGAGGGGGGAGGGAGGAGATGGGTCAGGGAGGGAGCAGGCACAGCGGGAGGGCCTTGCGGGTCTTGGCATCCCTGCCTTAACAAGAAGGAACAAGCTCAAGAAGGCAGTTAGCTGCAGATGTCCCCAGCTAGCTGGTGACGGAGCAGGGGGTTCTGCTCAGAGTCCGGCCCCAGAGCCCTTCACCGTCCGGACGAGCCCAGGAGACCCCAGCACACTCTGGACCGCGGTTCCCCATCTGTAAGCAGAGGAGGCTGAGACCCATTGGTTAGGTGTGTGGAAACACGGGAAGGGGGTTTTTAGCAGCCATTGGACCGCTCTATCCCCCACTCCCATATTTAGGGGGCAGGAGCCAAGAGTATGAGCACATCTCACAGGAGTAACTCTCCCACAGCTGGGCCACATGGTCACCAGATTCTGCGGGGCGCTAACATTTGGGGGTTTACAGTGAAAATTATACGTCTGGCGGGCCCGCAGCCGCATGCTTCACATGCTTGAACTAGCTCACACGGTTCCCACAATTGCCCCCTTGGAGCCTGTGTCATTTTCGTCCCCAGTTACCAAGAAGGGGAAGCATCAAAGTCTTGAGCTTGAAACGCTGTTCTGTGAGACCCAGGAGAACACCAAATGGGAAAGTGTTGTCTTGTAGTAAGATCCACCAGAATGGCATTAAACAGAATGAGAAAACTAAGCCATAAACCACCTGTCATCCTGTCATGCTATTACTTGGACCTTTCAGGCCCTATTACGGAACATGTCCCTGTGCCCTGCCCAGTGCTCAAGGGTCCGCTCCGTGGGGGGCCAGGGTGCTAGGGCCTCAAGGCTCCAGGCCTCAGGGTCTCTGGCTGTGCAATTCCCATGTGGCGGCTTTCTTCCCCCGGCGGGCCAGTGAGGAGGCCTCTGGGGTGCTTGAGCACCTGGGGCCATCCTTCTCCCCCAGAAGCCTGCACAGAATGAGGCCACCAGAAAAGGCCCTCCTGAGACCAGACCCGTCATTTCCCTTGGAAAGTTCTGCTTCAGCTGCCTTGTCTTTTGATGCTTCAAGCAGTCAGAGCAGAGTTTCTGCCACTTGCCACGGAAAGAGCTGAGGGATATGGCCCTTTACGTGGATGACCCGATCGCAGCTCCCAGGTGCGGAAAAAGCCCCTTTTGCAGATGGGAAAATGGGAGGCTCGCAGAGAAGTCACATGGGCCAAGGTTACACAGCTAAGGAGGAGTGAGCACTTGGAGCCCCGCTCTTTAATGCTCGCAGACCACTGCGCCGTGAAGAGGACACTGCCCCTTGGTCCCCCCTTCTCTGGCTCTGAGGTGTCCTGGAGCACCCGGGGACAGCCTGTCCCTTCCTGGTCTCTGCACCCCCGCACACATACACACACAGACACAGGTTTGGCTTCGAGAGCGTCTGGCGTTTAATCTCGTTGTGGCGGCCAGGAAGGAGGCGGGTGTGGCCCCTGATTCACGGGCCGCAGGGGCGGCTAGGGTGGCTCTCGGGAGGCCAGGTAGGCGGCCAGGGTCACCAGGGCCGCCGCATATGTGCACACGCCCAGCCCGACGGCGAGGACCCCCAGCAGGAAGGCGCGGCGGGAGGCAGCCCCTGCCCCCTGGACGTCCCCCTTGGCCCAAGCCTTGTTGGTCTGTGGAGGCGTTGGGCAGCGGTGACTCAGGCATCCCCTCATCCGCCCTGCTTCCCGCAGCCCCGGACCCTTCCCCCAGCCCCTCCCACGCGGGCACACCCACGCACTCATTCATAGATTCCAAGACCGGGAAGCAGCTGCTGTGGGTGGGCACAGGGGAGACTCTGTGGCTAATAAAAATATACAAAGATTACTCTATGCCACCGTTCTAACTCACTGGGGCCTCACGATGAGCCAGAGGGAGGAATTGTTCCCATTTTACAGAGGAAGAAAATGAGGCACAGGGAGGTTAAGTGGCTTGCCTCAAAATCTTAAAGAGTGCATTGCACCTAGGATTTGAGCTCGGGGTCTTCACCATCACCCTGGGTTTTCACTCTGAAACATTCGTTTTGCCCTTCAACGTTCCTATGCAGATCCTTCTCTCCATCTTTGTTCCCACCCCCCGGCAATGTATAGCACCTGTGTTTTGAATGTGCTTTTCTCTTACATCCAGCCCCCTCCCAGCCACACCCACAGACTGACCTTCTGGGCCAGGCAGAAGGCAGCAATGCCCACAGGCCAGAAACAGCAGAGCATGGAGAAGACGGCCAAGCCGAGGTGGTCGTGGGGTAGGAGCGGGGAGAGAAGGCTGCCCCCATCCCAGTCCGAGTCGCTGTCACTGGATGATGCGTCCTATGGGTAGGAGAGGGCCTGAGTGGGCATCTCTGCCTACCTTCCCTGCCCCACTGCTCTGCTCCCCACAGCCCCCCACAGACCAATACCAGGGCCTCCCCAGAAACACCAAGAGAGGAAGATGTTCCAGGAGATAGGCTCCTAGAGTTTTATGTTACACTTGAAAGACTTCACCAGGCCAATCATGACTACTACAATCTCTGCGTTAAAAGCCCCTGCAGTAGAGACAGATGGGGACAGACACCAGCAAAAAGTTGGAGATTAAGAGATACAGCTCTGGGGACATGTGGGTGGCTCAGTCAGTTGAGCATCTGACTCTTGGATTCGGCTCAAGTCATGATCTCGCGGTTTGTGAGTTCAAGCCCCACATTGGGCTCTGCGCTGATGGTGCCGAATGTCTCTCCCCCACCCACCCACCCACTCTGCCCCTCCCACGTGCTTGCTCACTCTTTCTCTCTCAAAATAAATGAATAAACTTGAAAAAAGAGACAGACAGCTCTGGTGGCCTAAATTACTAGGACAAACCTGCCTGCTGAAAAGCAGAAATTCTATACTTTAAAAAATGTTTTGTTTTTATCTTTTTTTTAAATCTTGCGTCACACAGCTCACATGATTTTAAGCAATTCCTATAAGGCCAAAACTGAAAATCAAAGCAGGGGTCAAATGAACTGAGATGGCCTCTTTTCCCTGCGGGTATTTGCCAATCCCGGAAAAATAGCCTTTTAATCAAACTGTGCACTAGATTAAAACTGATCTCTAACTGGTAGTGACCCCAGGTGGCTGACAGAAGCAAACCAAATCCTCTCTGGGGAATGGTATGCACCTTCAGCCTAGGCCACAAAATAATAACCCTAAAAATGATTGTTCAGAGGCACCTGGCTGGCTCAGTCAGTAGAGCCCACGACCCCTAATCTCAGGGGCGCAAGTTCAAGCCCCACATTGGGCGTGGGGCCTTGTTCAAGTTTAAAAAATAAATAAAAAATTTCACACGTGACCAGCATACAGTCCAAACATAACCAGGCACACAAGAAACCATAAATGAGAACTAGCAGAAATAATAAGGCCCTCAAAGGGGCGCCTGGGCGGCTCAGTCAGTTAAGTGTCCGACCTCGGCTCAGGTCATGATCTCGCAGTTCACGGGTTCAAACCCCGCGTGGGGCTGTGTGCTGACAGCTCCGAGTCTGGAGCCTGCTTCAGATTCTGCGTCTCCCTCTCTGCCCCTCCCCCACTCATGATCTGTCTCTCTCTCTCAAAAATAAACATTAAAATAACAACAACAATAATAGTAAGGCCCGCAAGGTCCTCAAGAATGGAATTATCAGACACATACAATGTCAGAGTGATGCTAACTGCCACAGTGTGGCTGACCGTGTTTCCAAAACCAGCCCCAGCCGTCTCTCTCATCCCACATGCGCTTTTTAACAGTGTGACTGATACTCTTCCCACCAAGGGGTGAGGTCTGTGTCCCCTTTCCTTGAGTCTGGACAGGCTGTGACTCACTCATAATTGGTAGAATGTGGTGAAAGTGATGCCACGTGACTTCCAAGCATAGGTCAGAAAAGGTGAGGCCTTGCTGGCGCCCTCAGGCTGCGGCCGAAGGCCCGTAAGGGCGCGGACTATGCTGAAGCTGCCATGTTGTGAGGAGGCCCAAACCAGCCCGCAAGGGGAGAGTCATCTATAAGCCCCAAGATGAAGAAAGAGACACCCGCCCAGCTCCCAGCTGCTTCGGCCTTGGCCGTGGACAGTGTCAGCCCTAGCCACCGGCTGACCGCAACCTCATGAAAGACCCTGAGGCAGAACCACCCAAGTCCTTCCCAAACGCCTGACCCATGGAAACCATGAGCCATAATGAGTGTTGCTGTTTTAAGCAACTAAGTTTTGAGATGATTTCTTTTATTTTTAATGTTTATTTATTTTTGAGAGAGACAGAGTGCGAGCAGGGGAGGGGCAGAGAGAGAGGGAGACACAGAACCCAAAGCAGGCTCCAGGTTCCGAGCTGTCAGCACAGAGCCCAACGCGGGGCTCAAACCCATGAACTGTGAGATCATGACCTGAGCCGAAGTCGGACGCTTAACTGACTGAGCCACCCAGGCGCCCCCTGGGGTGATTTCTTATACAGGAATAGTAGCTGGAAAACCATGTGTAAGAAATAAAGGACAAGCGGTGCACCCGGCTGGCTCGGGCAGAAGAACATGCGACTCTTGATCTCGGGGCGGTGAGTTTGAGCCCCACGTTGGGTGTAGAGATTTCTTAAAAATAAAATCTTGGAAAAAATAAATAAATAAAAGACAAGCTTCGCAGTAGGTAGAAGGAATAAGAAATTATATAAATTAACACCTTAATTTGAAAAGAAGAGACCAGGGCCGACAACGGAAAGAGAGAGAGGGAAAGACAGGGAACAGGGGAGTCAGAAATCAGAGGGAAGACAGAGAACCAAAGGCGCAGGACGAAAGATGAGTGACAAACCTGGAGAGAAAAAGGCGAAGAAACCAGAACAGCAAAGCCGGTAACTGGGAATCTAGGCAGCCCACACACACTGGGAAGTGAGAACCCCAGGCTGAAGGCAGATAGATGCCCCAGCCACCCAGGTGTGGGCCACCTGAGTTCGCCGCCCCCTCCCCCACCTCCCGCTGAGGCCCACCGCTCCTACCTCAAGGTCAGGGGGCCCTGGCTCCCCAAGACCAGCGCTCACAGAGGGAAGAGGAGGTGGGAGTTGCTGCCAGCCCCTCAGGGCCTCAGCAAAGGCTATCTCTCCAAAGGGAGGCCCCAGCTGGGGCTCACCAGGCTTCTGGATGGGGGGCCCGCAGCCCATACCCGCCAGCAGAGGCTGGTGGAGCTCTCGAAGGCTGGGGCTGTCCATGGCTGGGGAGAGGCTCTGGGAAGGGTTTCCTGGAGGTAGAGGAAAAAAAAAAGTTGTAACAAAGTCTCACCATCTTTCCCCTGACTCGACTCTGGAGAGAGTCCTGGCAGAGACTAGTCAGCTCACTGACCATCAGACCCATTTTACAGATAGTAAAACTGAGGCCCGGAGACTAAAAGAGGCTGGGCCAAGTTGTGAAGAGAACTCGGGGGTCTGGGATTCCGTCTTCTCAGGCAAAAGCCACACACCTGTTGCACACTTATTCCAAATCATGCACACTTGCCCCATGAACTACACATACCTGCATCTACAGGTCTGCACACTGAATACCCAAGACCCCTGCCACACATATTCATCCACACCAGCCCAACCCCCACCTCCACCTCACGGCATTCATCTCCCAAAGGGCTCCTTGCATACATATGCCCTGTACAACATCAGCTGCCATTAAACACCACTTCTTACACCCTCATCCCAAAAGATTCCTTGCGAGCTCCTAATCGCCCTAACATCAGATCCCCCATTTGCACACGTATGCACAGGCTTCCCACGCATGCATCTCAGACACTCTCCCTTGTTCCCATCACTTACTTCCCTTGCACACCTGCCCCAAACACCTGGTGCAAGCACCTCTCCCCTACTCCACCCACATCCACGGCCCTACACAATTGCCTGCACACTCATCGGCTCCCCCACACCTCCTGTCTTACCAGACTCCACCTTTGCACAACTGCCCCTTACCAGCCCCAACCCACCACCTTCATACACAAGCAACCTCAAGGAATAATGCCACCCCACCATCCGCCCCGAGGGCCCCCAAACCTCCCGCCCTCACTCCAGCCCTGGCTTGAGCCGATTACCTCACCAAGGTTTGCCTCCCCATCCCCAACACTAGGGCCCAGGGGAGGATCCCGTGCCGCCCACCTGTGCCCCTCACTCACCGCCCACGGCCATATGTTGGGACCTCCTGGGCCCCTGCACCGACACCCGCCCCGACTCTGCTGCCCGCAGGTGACGGAACTCCGCGAGCCCCGCGCTCCCTGGGACCTGGGCCTGGGGGCGCGGGGTGTGCGCGTTCCTGTGGACTCCCCTCTCGGAGCCCCTGGCCCGCAGCGCGCGGGGGCGGGGGTGGGGGCGGGGCGGCGGGCTCCCGGCTCCGCCCTCCGCCGCGGCCGGGGAGGGGGCCTTGAAGGCCGACGTCAGCGCCCAGCGCGGAAACCCTGCCATCCCCGGCGTGTGGGAACAAGCGCGAGACTCCGAGGACGGTGGGCCCTGACCCCCCCACCCCCGAGCCCAGGCCCCCAAGCGCTGCGGGGTGGAGGAGGGGGCGCCCCTGATTCTCCAGGGCCTTTCTGGCTCGGCCCCGCCTCCACCCCCTCCACTCCCCCACTCTTCTTGCCCAATAATAATAACAGCAACAGCCGCTAACTGTGTGCACTGCTCTCAGTGCCGTGCATGGACGCAGGCACGTTTATTCCTCGCAAGGACCGAAGAGACACCGTCATTTACTGTCCTGGTGCACGCAGGAGGGAACAGGCGCAGAGAGGTTGGGCACTTGCCTGGGAGCCTGCCGCTAGTTCACTGAGTGCAGACTAAGCCCCGAGCCCTGGCCGGTGGGTTTAGAGGATTTACAACCATCTTGCATTGACTCCTCTAGGCAGCTCTATCTGTTGTACAGATAAGGAGAGGGAGGGTCAGAGGCATGTGCTCACTAGGCCGAGGTAAACAGCTGGAGCTTTGTAACCCAGGGCTGTATTCCTTGCCGGCCCAAGGGAAAGGGAGGAAGCGGGGCAAGAAGGAATGGAGTTCCTCTGAGTCAGTGTTTAGACCCACACAGACCCGAATTACTTTCCAGGCTCTTCAGGGCACCTGCTCTGGGCCCGCGGGACATTGGCATTGCGTCTCGGAACCCTCATTTTTTTTTTCATCTGTGAAATGGGCTAAACACTCCCTGCCTCTTTAGCCCGATAACACATAAAGCACTTAGATCAGGTGCGACACCCAGCGTCCACCGTTTACCCAGAGCCTGGCAGTGCTGGCACTCTGAGCATGTTTGGTGATGTCTCTGAGTTAATGATTTATCAACCTCCGTCTCCCATCAGGCTGCATAAGGGACACTCCTCACCCCGCAGGCCTCTCGCCCTCATGGAGCCCACCCAGCTTGCATGGGCTTCCTCCGCCCAGAAGCCCTCCTTTTTACCAGTCCCAGTAGGTCAAGCGGGAGGATTCCCCTCTCGATGCAGGGCTGGCCGGAGTTCCCTCGCTCCAGGGCTCCAGGGCTCGGTGCCAAGAGTCCAGACGCTGGAGTTGGCACAGGCCCCACTCCCAGGGAGAGCAGATGGTGTCTGCAAGTGCAGCTTGGCACAGCCAAAGTTTCGGGCAGACAAGCGGGCAGACCCTCTGGAGGATAGAGAGGGACCTGGGCGGGTTATGTCATCCGGGAGAGAGAACCTGCTACCCTCTCCTCGACCTGGGCCCTGGTTGTTGTTTCTTGCAGGCAATCACTAGGAAACATGCGACATCTTTCTTTTTTCTTTTTTTTTTTTTTAATGTTTTATTTATTTCTAGGAGAGAGAGAGACAGCATGAGCAGGGGAGGGTCAGAGAGAGAGGGAGATACAGACTCTGAAATAGGCTCCAGGCTCTGAGCCAGCTGTCAGCACAGAGCCGGACGCGGGGCTCGAACTCACGAACCGTGAGATCATGACCTGAGCCAAGTTTGGATGCCTAATCGGCTGAACCACCCAGGCACCCCTTCATAGCAGTGTTATTCACCACAGGCGAAAGACGGAAGCACACCAGTGTCCATCAGTAGAGGACTGAGTGAAGAAAATGGGGTATATACGATTCCACCTTAAAAGGAAGAAAATTCTGACATGCCTGACAACATGGACTAAGCCTGGAGACATTGTAAAAGGACAGCTGTTGATGGGCTCTACTTCTATGAGGCTCCCAGATGGTCATATTAATAGAGACAGAAAGTAGAATGGTGGTGGATGGGAAGCTGTTTTTCGTTTGTTTTTATTTCTTTTTTTTTTCATTTTAGACAGAGAGAGAGAACACAAGAGGAAGACAGGGGCAGAGGGAGAAAGACAGAATCCCAAGCAGGCCCCACGCTCAGTGCCGAGGCCAAAACAGGGCTTGATCCCAGGACCCAGGGATCATGACCTGAGCCGAAATCAAGAGTCAGATGTTCAATCAACTGAGCCACCCAGGCACCCCTGCCCGATTTGTTTTCAGTTTAGTTTTTAGTTATTTGGTGTTTTTTTCCTTTTTTTTTTTAGTTTCTGCATGTGTGTTTTACTATAGTTGACACACAATTTACATTAGTTTCAGGTGTAAACACAGTAACCTAACTGCTCTATGCCTCAAGCTATGCTCATTGCCAGCGAGCTAGCAAGCGCAGCCACCAACTTGTCCCCATTGAGCGCCATTACAATGTCATTGACCATGTTCCTTATTTTGCACCTTTTAGCCCCAAGACTCATTCATTCCACAACTGAAAGCCTGTTCGCCCATCCCCCCACCCCACTTCCTCCAGCAGCCCTGGGCGGCTCAGTCCGTTGAACATCTGACTCTCGATTTCATTTCGACTCAGGTCATGATCTTACAGTTCGTGGGGTTGAGGCCTGTGTCTGGCTCTGCACTGACAGTGGGGAGCCTGCTTAGTATTCTCTCTCTCCCTCTCTCTCTACCCCTTTCCTGCTCGTGCGCAAGCATGCACACACACACACTCTCTCTCTCTCTCAAAATAAATAAACTTAAAAAAAAAAAAAAAGCATGATCCTGAGACGTTTTTCAATGTTTACAGAGGTTTAGTTTTGCAAGATGAAAAGATTCTAGAGGTTAGTTGCACATTTCTGTGCATGTACTTGATGCCACTGAACTGTACCCCTAAAAATGGCTAAAATGGCAAATTGTGTGTTATGTGTCTTTTACCACAATTTTACAAATTTAAAAATAAAAAGTAAAGAGGGGTGCCTGGGTGGCTCAGTCAGTTGAGTGCCCCACTCTTGATTTTGGCTCAGGTCTCACGGTTCTTGGGTTCAAGCCCTGTGTTGGGCCCTGAGCTGACAGCACAGAACCTGCTTGGGATTCTCCTTCTTTCTCTTTCTCTGTCCTCCACCCCCCAAAATAAACAAACTTAAAAAAAAAAAAAAAAGAAGGACAGGCACCTGGGTGGCTCAGTCAGTTAAGTGTCCAACTTGGGCTCAGGTCATGATCTCACAGTTCGCGAGTTCTGGCCCCCTATCTGGAGCCTGCTTCAGATTCTGTGTCTCCTTCTTGCTCTCTGCCCCTCCCCTGCTGGTGCTCTGTCTCTCAAAAATGAAGAAACGTTAAAGAAATTAATTAAAAAACAAAAAGGATATGCGAAATATTCCATTCCAAAATTAACAACACTAAGACCCATCAGTAATAGCAAACATTTATGCTGCTTCCTAGTTTCCAGCACTGTCCTAAATTCATTACACATCCTATGGCTGCACAGCAAGTCATTCGCCAACACCCCGTGGCTTAAAGCAAACATTTATCATCTAACATAGTCTCTGTTGGCCTTGAATCTGGCAAGGGCTTGGCTGGGTGGTTATGACTCCAGGTGCCTCATGAAGTTACAGTCAGCATGCTGGCCAGAGCTATTGTCATCTGAAGATCTAACTGGGGCTGGGAGATCTGTTTCCAACATAGATCACGCACATGGTGTTCACTGTTGGCAAGAGGCTTTAGTTCTTCCCCATAAGGTCTTTCCAATGGCTGCTTCTCCCCTAGAGGAGCCATCCAAGAGAAAGAGCAAGGAGGAAGCCTCAATGCCTTTTATGACCTAGTCTCGAAAGTCACACAGCAACTTCTGCCGTATTCTAGAAGGAAGTGTTAAGTGAAGCTCAGACCCAGGGGGAGAGGAATTAGTTTCCACGTACTGAAAGAAGGTATATGAGGGGTGCCTGGGTGGCTCAGTCGATTAAGTGCCCAACTCTTGATGCTGGCCTAGGTCATGACCCCAGAGTCTTGCAATCAAGCCCCATGAGGGGCTCTGCACTGGGCATGGAGCCTCCTTAAGATTCTCTCTCCCCTTCCCTCAGGCCCTCCCCCGCCCATATATTTGCTTGTTCTCTCTCTCAAAAAATAAATCAATTAAAAAGAAATTTTTTTTTTAATGTTTTATTTATTTCTAGGAGAGAGAGAGAGAGACAGCGTGAGCAGGGGAGGGTTAGAGAGAGAGGGAGTCACAGACTGAAACAGGCTCCAGGCTCTGAGCTGGCAGTCAGCACAGAGCCCGACGCGGGGCTCGAACCCACGAACCGCGAGATCATGACCCGAGCGAAAGTCGGACGCTTAACCAACTACGCCACCCGGGCACCCCTAAAAAGAAATTTTAAAAAGAAAGTAAAATAAAAAAAGAAAGAAGGCATATCACAGAATCTGTGGACAGGGGCGCCTGGCTAGCTCATCCTGAAGAGCACGTGAGTCTTGGTCTCAGGGTCGTGAGTTCGAGCCCCACAGTTAGGCATAGAGCTTACTAAAAAAATAATAATAATAATAAATAATTGTGGGCATATTTTATTTACTTTTAAAAGTTTTTATATTTATTTATTTTGAGAGAGAAGGACACACAGAGAATACCAAGCAGGCTCCACGCTTAGCACGGAGCTGGGCTTGGGGCTGGCTTTCACAACCGCAAGATCACGACCTGAGCCGAAATCAAGACTCAGTCGCTTAACTGACTGAGCCACCCGAGGGCTCCAGTGTTGAGCTTATTTTAAAAGAGCTTCATAGACGAACACATCAAAGCCTGACAACAGTCCAACAAGGTGGGGCCCGTCTTTCATCCTCACGTTACAGAAAAGAAAAAGCAAAGCACAGACAGGCTGGCTACAGGTCACACAGAAGGTGCAGAGCTGAGAGACTTCCATCTTGGTGGTTGACCCGGGAACCATTTTCTTAATCACTAATATCAACCAGTAAGGAGAAAACCAATTAAAAAAAAAAAAAAAGGAGCACTGACAGAACCAGACTGGTTGGATGTGGGAAGTGATGGATCTTAGAAAACGTCCAGACACAATCTCCATATGCCTTTGAATAACGAAAGACACTTTCTTTTCAAAGAAAGGAAGGACAGCAAAGAGGTTAAGGACATCAGGTTTAGGCAGAGGTAGACAGCGCTACAATCAACGTGACTTGAGGCAAATGATTTTGGGCCAATTTTTTCATCTTAAATAAAGCTGACATTAACTACCCTGTAGGGTGTCTGAGGATTAAACAAAATCATGCAATCAAAACGATCAGTTTACAGGGTCTGGCACAGAAAATACACTCAATACACGGTAGCTTTCAAATATACCTATTAGTGAAATGTAATCCTATTGAAGTATTTTATTTATATTAATACTATGCTATTGAAATGTTGCCCCCTCCCTATAATTTTGACTTCCTGATGCTAATTGGTGGAGCCTCATTTTGGGAAAAGTAGAGAAATGAATTTCCTTTGGACTCCCGGTCTGGGCTAGAGGAATAGGGATTAGGGTTCAGGCGGATTTAGAGGCTGGAGAGGGCACACTGCTCAGGAAATCAGAATATGTCAGTGCCTCGAACTCGGTCCCCCCTACTTACACCCATTACACAGATGAGATACACCAAGGCTTGGACACCTGTAGGGTCACATGACAAACTGCTGGCAGAGTCCAGCCTTCAAGAACCAAATTTTCTGCAGAAAAAGGGGCCTCGGTTCCTCATTTCTCATACCCTTTCCCCCACGCTCCCCCTCCTTACTCAGACTCAGCACTAACCGTGAACTGGGCGGTATTTCTGAGAAGGAAGTCGGATTTATCAGCCAGTGAAGAGCCACAGGAAACTAAAAAAGGAAGGAAAACCCCTCTCCCCAAATTGAGTTTCTCTGGGGAGAATCCGAAGGAGGAAGGATTTTTTTTCATAAAGACATGGGGATGCATGCAATGACCTTGAGAGAGACTCCCCCTTGGTCCTGGCTCAAGTCTCTGATTTGTGGTCCTGGCTGCGAGAGCGTTTGGGGAGACACGCAGCGCGGATGGATTCGCCTATTCTGTGAGGAAGGGATCTGGCAGAAACAGTTGGCACGGAGACTTCCTCAGCCACACTCAAGATGGCAGCTGCCCGACCACGCCCCAAATGGCGGAACCTTGAGTGTGCGGAGAGACGCTTTTCCCAAAATGGAGAGAGATGGGGAGACAAAACGTCCATCATACATTAGCCCCGCCCCCTAAGATTGTTAGGGCCAATTAGCGACCCACAGGGCGGGTGCCAGACGAGGGGAGGAGGCTGCTGTTGCCCCAGCAACAACCAGGGAGCCCGAAGGCGGGTGCAACTTCGGAGGGATCCGCGCCTCGGGTCTCTCGCTGCCGGGAAGGTACTGGGAGAGGCGCGAGACAAGCCTAGGAAGTCAGCACTCGCGGAGAGAGGGACAGGTCAGGCCCATGAACTGCAATCCCTGCTGTCTCTTGGCCCGACCTAACCGTTGGGTGCTGTGAGGTAGGAATAACGCATGCGCGGGCCTAGAGGCGGGGCTAAGGCGGTCCTGCCCTTAAAATGCCTGCGCCTTCGGCGCTTGAGGATCCGAGGCGAAGAGGCGGAGCTTTTGCGCCTGTGGGCGGGGTCATAAGGCCTTGGGGCGGGGTTTTCCGCTGCGCAGAGCACAAGGAAGAGGTTATTTTAGAGGCGGGTGGAGATGCCAGCTTCTCTCTCTGCTCTCACCTCACCCCCGTCATTTCCCCGGGGCTCTCCTGGAGGAGCGGGGAGACTCATGGTTAAGGCGGCAGCCTCAGTAGTTTGACGAAACTAGTTTGGAAACCTCCTACTCCCCCTTATTTGGTAGGCCTCAGTTTCCCCATCTGTCAAGTGGGGATAATAGAACAGTTAACTGGGCTGTGATTGCGTTTTTCCTTCAGGGCCATGGCTGAGGTGCACGTGATCGGGCAGATCATGGGGGCCACCGGCTTCTCGGAAAGTAGCCTCTTCTGCAAGTGGGGCGTCCACACAGGTATTCTGGGGCGGGTTCATTTCCCTACCCAGACCCTCAAGCCCAGAGTTTCTACCTTCCTTCCTTGACTCCCTCGCCTAGTCCCCGATCCTCATCTTCCATTGGCTCTCAGGACTCCTAGCCATGACGGTACTCAGATAGTGTGAATCTCACACTCCTTGTTCTTCCTGTCTCATCTCTGTGGGAGCTCTGGCTTCCCCTCTCTGAACACAAAGCCCCTTGAGGATATGGGACTATAGGCTAGACCCCCCCTCATACACCCTCAAAACACTAGACAGCCTATCCCCACTGGACTTCATTCACTGCCTTGTAGGGGGGGGGGCTGAGTCCCTCTCCCATCTCCGTTCGTTGCTTAACAGTCTCTATAGATTAAATTCGTACTGTAAAATGGGTTTTGATCTCAGATTTACAGAAAAGAGGCCACCCACCCTCCTGTATTCATAATTCTCTGTGAGAATGTAGGAACCTCTTTCTATCAGTCATCGGGGTTCATCCACACAGTGGCAGGAGAGGCTTTGGAAGTCCCCATTTTCCCCCTCAGAGGCAGCACAGCATCCAGGAAAGGGCAGGGCCATAGGCCGCCAGATCTGGGCTCACATACTAACTAGCTCACCTACTGAGTGGTGGCCTTTGGACTTGACCTCTCCCAGCCTCAGTCTCCTTGTCTATAAAAATGAAGCTCATAGCAGCTAAGAGGCAGCAGGGTTAAGAGCAGACTGCCTGAGTGCAAAACCACATCTTAATTACGTGACCTTGGGCACTTGTCTTTGCCTTGATTTCCCTGTCTGTACAATGGGAATAATAATACTTCATGGGGTTGTTGTAAGGACTAAATGAAATCAACCAGCACTGAGAAGAGGGCCTGAGCCAGTGTTTGCCTCGCTTGTGTAAAAACTGGATGGGGTTCTGCAAGTGAAGCGTTGGGTGTGCTGCCCAGCACAGATGAATGCTCCTGAGATAGCGCGGCTGTTGCCATCTTCATCTCGGAGGCGCCCTGGGTCCTTTGTGATTTCACTGGTAGGTAGGGTGCTGACTGAGATCCCTGGGGAAACTAGGGTCCTCCAGCTGAGCAGAGAAGAGGCAGGCCCTGGAGTCCGGACCCCGCCACTCATCTGCCCACCTGCTCTGTGACCCTGGCCAGGTGCTGACCCCCCCCACCCTCCAGCCTCATTTTCCTCATCTATAAAGTGGTAGAGTGGGAATACTGGTCTTTTATAGGGGTCTGGGGAAATCTCATAAGTGAAGAGCCTGACTCAAGGCCTGGCACTTTCCTCACGTGGCCCAGAAGGAAGAGATCACCAACGTGATTTTTATTATTTCAGGGGACTCTTGGTCGGGGGGTGGGGGGGCAGTTAATCCAGCAGAGAGCTCAGGGGCAGCCAGATAAAGGGCTTGGGCCCTGCAGTCAGACAGAGCAGTTTGAGTCCAGGGCCGCCGTGGGACGTTGGTCAGTCCCATTCCTGTTGTGCCCCAGCATGGACGACAGTGCTTGGTATACAGCAGGTGTTCAATAAATGTTCATGGACTAAATGGCCAAGTGACTTTCCTTCTCAGAGTCTGTTTCTTTACCTATAAAATGGGAATTATATCAGCACCCAACTCCTAGGAGCACTCACTTGTCCAACAAACATGTATTGAGCAACTTCTGTGTACAAATCCCATGTTTGAGGTCCTGGGGACCCAGCAGTATACAAAAGATGTGCTTTCCTGGGGCTCCCAGGAGAGGACACAGGATTAAAGAGCAGGTGAGGAAATGAGCATAGTGATTACTGACAGTGGTAGGTACCAGAGGAAGTGAGAGGAGATGATGTGACAGGGACTCGTGTTTGGATAGGAGGGTGAGGGAGCACCTCTCTGTGAAAGCGGCACCAGAGTCTATCCCTGAAGAATGAGAAAAAACCAGGCATATCTAGGAGCAGAGCTTTATGAGCAGCATCAACAGCCAGTGCAAAGGCCCTGGGGGGTGGGGGGGTAGAGAACAGAAATGGGGCCAGTGAGGCTAGAGGGTGGTGACGGGTGAGTGGTGGGAAGGGGACACAGGCCAGGCCATGGAGGGCCTTGTGGGCTGCGGAGGAGGGTCTAAACCAGGGGCTAGGGTGGGGATTAAGAGCCCTAGAGGGCAGATGAAGTGAATTCATTTTAGCACCTTTCACCCTTTGCTGGTGCTCTTGCAGGGACATCCTTGGCCCCATCTTAGTCCTTGAACTAGGCCTCTAAATATAAAATGGGGTGGGGGGCGGCGGCGCCTGGGTGGCTCAGTCGGTTAAGCATCCGACTTCGGCTCAGGTCATGATCTCACGGTTCGTGGGTTCGAGCCCTGTGTCGGGCTCTGTGCTGACAACTCAGAGCCTGAGCCTGTTTCAGATTCTGTGTCTCCGTCTCTCTCTGACCCTCCCCTGCTCATCATGCTGTCTCTCTCTCAGAAAGAAATAAAACATTAAAAAATGTTTAAAAAATAAACATAAAATGGGGTGAGGAGTCAGAAAACGATATCCAACACTTATCTAGTACTCACTATGCCCCCAGACACTATGCTGAGGGCTCTCTGTATTAGCTTATTTAATCTTTTCACAAAACTACGAGGGATGTGTTAGGATGACACCCATTTTACAGCAGGGGAGACCAAGGCAGAGGACGGTAACTCTCCCAAGGTTGCACAGGCAGGGAGAAATAGTACCAGGATTTGAACCCACACATTTGGCTCTAGAGTCCACACACCTTATAACTCCTGCCCCCGCCCCCCCCAATGCCGGGGAGAAACAGGGTCCTCCAGCCGCAATGGCCTCCCCTTCCTGATGTCTGCTTCCTACTCCTCCCTGCAGGGGCAGCGTGGAAGCTCCTGTCGGGCATCCGGGAGGGCCAAACCCAGGTGGACACCCCCCAAGTAGGGGACATGGCCTACTGGTCCCACCCCATCGACCTGCACTTCGCCACCAAAGGCCTCCAAGGTGGGTTCCCGGCCTGGGCCCCGTGCCCTTTCCTGGCCAAGCCTGGTCCCGGAGAGGCAGGTTGGCTCCAGAGCGTGCAAGACTAGGCTGGCCAGGGCTGCAGGGGGCGAGGGGAAGGTGGGCACCAGGGAGAGAGGGGAGGTGGCTTTCAAAGAGACAAACAAGAGTCTTCACTCCGGAGGAAGCTGGGAGGGGGTGAAGGGGGGGGGAGGCAGGGCTGCTAGCTGTTTCTGCAGCTGCTCACAGGGGAAGCGAGTACGCGGGGGAGGAAGGGTATCAGAAAGCCTTTTCTCGTGGAAAATTTAGATCACTAGAGAGGAGTGGATTCTAGGAAATAGCCTAAGTCAACATGACATGTGTTTCAACAATACAAATAATATTTACTGAGCGTCTGCCCTGCGCCCAGCCCGTGCTGGGTGATGCCAGGGCAGTGTCAGTGATTGAGACAGCCCCCCAGCCCTGTCCTCTTCGGGTTCGCCATCTCTTGGGGGGAGACAGAGCTGTCCCAGACGGTGGCATCCCAGAGTGGGTGGGACTGGAATGGGGGATCCTAGAGGGTAGGGGGACCCCAGAGGAGAAGCCCGACTGAGGGAATTCAGGGAGAGCTTCCTGGAGGAAGGGATGTTTGAGCTTTGCTGTGAAGGGCTAGTAGGAGCTGGTACAGAAGAAGGCTCTAGGCAGAGGGCTGTGTATGAAAGGCCCAAAGGGGAAAGTGAGCCGGGGGCATTTGGAGGATCGAGGGTGTGTAAGGGAAGGGCCAGGGGTGAGGTGGGGGGGGAGACAGGCCTGGGAACTGAGGCCATCTCCAGAAGGCGCTTGGGAGCCGTAGCAGGTGACCAACAGGTCAGATTTCAATTTTAAAAGATTCTTCTGATTGCCTGGGGCCGATGGGCTGGAGGCGACGCAGGCGACTGTCCTGTCCTCTGTGTGGCACCATCTTTGCCTCCTCTTTCCTCACCCCGCCCCCCCCGCCCATCCAAAAATCCCTTTGGCTCTACTGCTGGAATGTATCCTAAATCCCCCCACTTCTCTCTCTGGGCCCCTCGGTCTGTCCACCCTCACGTCTCACCTGGATATTACTGTAGCCTCTTCCCTGTGCATCTCCATGCCCCATAGTCTGTCCCCTTGTGAGCCCCCAAGTTGGGTCACATCCAGTCTCTACCCAG